GTTCCCTTGGGGGTGATCCGCTGCCGCCTGACGCATCGCCACTGCCGCCTGGGAAGTGGTGGGGACTTTTGACCACGTGAACCTTTTCCAGTCAGAATTGCTCAGGGGTTTCTAGAACTTCCATTTTGGAAAGAAGGGGTAGTTATTTCGGTGAGATTGTGGTCTGGCGGTTAGACCTTGTGACTGGAAGTCTCCGCCAAAGGGTTGGATTCTTACCAAGCTCTTCCCCCAACGCTTGAGTGGTGATGCGATCCACGGCGATGCTTCGGAACCACTGAACACACCTTCCTGCGCGAGTGTGTTGGGCTGTCTGGACATCCTAGCTGGTGTGATTTTACAGGCTTTTAGCCTTCCGTTCCCTGATCCTGGGGTGGCTCACCAGGGCCCACGAGCCAGAACAGGCTTGCCACCTGTTCGTGTGGCCCATGAGATAGAGGATTGACTGTTATTACTTTTAAAAGTTTGGGAAAAAAATCAAGGGAAGATGATCTTTCGTGGCACAGGAAAGTTGTGTGAAATTGAGATTTCAGTCTTCACCATCGAGGTCCTACTGCTACGAAGCCACAACACACGTGTGCGTGTACTGGCTGCAGCTGCCTTTGGGTTCACAACAGCAGAACAGAGGGATGAGGACTGAGAAAGTCTGTGGCACTTGCTCACTGGCGCTTCACAGGACAAGCGTGCCAGCCTTGCCCTGAACACACAAAGGACAAACCCCCCTCGCCTGCCCATCTGTGGCTGCAATGAACGAGAGGACGTGCTGGGCGCCACGTGGGCGTTTTATCAAGGATATGAAGCTTCCTGGAAGCTCCGGTGGCGGTGGTAGTGGTGGCAGCAGCAGCAGCTGCATCATCATCATCATCATCATCATCATCACCATCACCACTGTCTCCTGTGCACAGCCCTCAGCAGGAGCCCGAAGGGGGCAGGCTCAGCCGTGGCAGCTCAGCGTGGATGTGCAGAGCAGGCTGGCTCAGGACCCACTGGGGGAGGTGCTGACCGCTGCCCAAGCTGTCCTGAAGGAGCCTTCGGATTTGCAAGGTGCTCTCCGTTGGCCTTGACTTCTTCCTTGTCACTGGGGGAAATGGAAGGAGAGGAAATCAGCGACGCTCACCTTTTTCTCTTAGCTGACGATGTAGCAGGTCTTGCAGCTGCTTGGGGTTCTTTCAGGCCAGGAGTGTTGTATACATTTCGAGGCTTTGCCCACAGGTCGAGACGTGTCATAAAATATGATTGGGAGAGAAACCCTCATGTGCTGTGATCAGAACATTATTATTAAACAAACGATGACAATGCTCGTACCACTGTGGTCTTGCTTTTTTATTAGAATACAAATCAAGGAGACTCCATTTCAACGGTTTTCAATGCGGGAATCCCCACAGCCCTGTTTGATTGCAGCTTGTTGAAAAGTTTAATGTTTTTCTAGGCAATTCATAATTTGCATGTCGAGCAGCCCAAGAGGAAGAGAGCTGGAGTCCTGTGTGGTTGTTGTCGTGGGACGGTGGGAACCTCCCGCCTTCCTCAGAAGGGTGTGACACCGAGGTTGAACTGTTGGGAACACGGAGCGGCGTGCTCCAGCCCTTTTGTCAACTTGAGATGCGGCCTCGTTCAGGTCTTCCGTGAGGACCCAACCGAAGAGAATTTCTCGCTACTTAATGTCTCCAGGAAGGAAAAGATTTTCCTCTGGGCTGTAATAGTACCCAATTTCCTTTTTCTCCCCTTTATTTATTTATTTTCCCCATTCATGAGGGCCAATCGTCGATGAAGGAAGCTGGGAAACCCATCACTTGCAGAAAGCAGTTAATCACTTCCATGAAACAATCTTCATGGAGTACTTGTTTCTCCAAAAAGTCTCGTGAGCCACGACGCCACTTAGGAATCGAGGGGCAGGCACGGATTTGGGAGTACCCAGCCGTTCCGTGGCGTCAAATTGCACGGGGAAGGAGAGTTTGGGCTGTCACTGCGGAGTCCCTGCGAGTCGGCCAGGCCGGGGCTGTCTTCTTCCGCCATCTGGATTCAGTTAGCTCTCTCTGGGCAGTGGGGCCGAGTCTCATTTCCTCCTACCAGTAATGTTATATAGGCAGTGATCCTGGGCTGCCCTAACATAATTGAAAATTATGTGTATTGTAGGCTTGCAGCGCTGAAATGTAGGCCCATAAAAATATGTGGTGCAGGTAGCCTACGGAGATTGGATGTGGCACACAATGAAGCTTTTATGTAAAGTAAGAATTATAAGTCTCTGAATTAATATTGCATTATGGGCATGACAGTTCTTGGGTGGGGTCCTGAGGGCAGGTCTGTGACCTTTAGCAAAGCTTAAATGTCTTAGTTCTGTGGAGCTGGTTTTTGGGTGCAATCCAGTCAGTTTACAGATGGCTAAAGATGGAAACTTGTTCACTAGTCTGACTCCCCCCCACTGAGGGCAGCGTGCAGTACCATTGTGGGTCCCCTCAGCTCAGCAGTTTTGTTCCCAAGTCTTTGTGAGATAGAGAGGTGAGTGTAGTGTTGTTGGCAGGTATCCATTTTGGTTGACCTCAAGGATATGACTCTATTGAATGGTTTTGACCAATGCAGCCCATATGTTTATGTGGCAAGTGAGAATGGGAAGAAATCAGGGCAAGACAGGGCAGAACGCATCTCCAGAGCCCTCTGGCATGGGTTATAGGGTTGAGAGAGACCTTGAAAACGTTGACTTCAAATTGGGGTATATTGCCCCCAGAGCAGGCATTTGGAGATGATCTGGCTGTGACAATGACCAAGTGGTTCCTTCACAGGTCTGGGGGCCTGGAACCCTGGGATTCCTTACACGTTGGGGGCAGACCTCTACCTGCACCCCCATCCCAGGTGGGACAGCTCCCTCAATTCGCAGATGGAAAACTGGAAATGCTTAGAAGCAAAGGGATTTGAAGACAAGGTCTTGTGGCATCATCAACAGAGCCAGAACTAGTAAGCAGGCTTCTGGAAAAGTCCACTGTGCACTTTGGCAGGTGGCTCCTGGCTGGGATGTTCCAGCGTTGGGGATAACCGAGTTAATGAATTCACTGAACAGCTGTATCTTGGAGGAGCTCGTGGTCTCATCTGGCTGTGGATGGCTTGGACTCTTCTGTCTCTCAAGGGATTTGTGAAGACCCTTCTTTTTGGTCTTTTGTTCTTCCTACTAAAATCTTCCTGACTTATCAAGACTTATTCTGTACAGCCTTTCCCAGTTTGTTTTCTCAGAAATTCAGTCCTCTTTCTTGTCATTGCCTGGCATGAATCCCTGGGTCTCTGTTTATCTTTGCTGTCCCCTGTTTCAGTTTTTGTGTGTGTGTGTGTGTGTGCGTGCGCATGTGTGTACTCTCCCACACATAAGCTTCTCAAGGGCAGGCATCTTTCCATCTCTATAACGCTTATTAGCAAGAAGACTGTACACAAGGCAAAGTAAGTCTTTTGTTCATTGAGTGACATTTTCAGTAGAATTAATATCAAGTTTAGCATTCATTTTGCTTTGGTTCTCTGAAATGATCGAAATGATTTTCTCATATTTCCTCCAGTGATTGATGGATGCATTCATCAATCAGTTGGCTTTTGAGATTTGAAGGCTTGCATTGATGTTCCGATGAGCATTGTTTGGTTGTCTGAAATTTTTTTGAGTGAAACTGTTAAAATGTTCCTAATGAAGGTGAAAGCCTGGCTTTACTTATCTCTGTGACTAGGTGAGCCACTGTGCCTCAGTCTCCCTTTTCTGCAAAGTGGCAGGTTGAACCAATGGATTTTTCAAATCCCCCTGAAAGCTGATGAATCACTTTCGGCAGAAGTAGCAGCCTTATCGCATGAATTCATTTCCTATCTCAGAGAAGGCTGAGAGAGACATAGTTGCCTTTTACCTTTATTTTTATCCCTGTGGCAAACTTGTGCATACCTAAGAATTTTTCTGATCTTTAGAGATGAACATACAAATGGCACTGGGCTCTGGCTGTGCCTCTGTTTACAAGTTTCTTGATTGGAGTGAGGGGTTCTGTGCTCACCTCACTATACACAGTGTGGTATGTACGTGCTCACTTTGTTTAAAGTGAGGGTGATGGGTGAGGATGAAGGCGTGGCAGAGTGGCATTTAGCTGAGTAGTTAAGACATGAGTTAAAACACATCTGTCCTGCCTTGGGGTACCTGAGTTGAATTCCTTGCTCCAGCTCTTGATTTCTGCTTCCTGTTAATGCAGCAGTGATTATTCAAGTAGTTGAGCTCTTGCTACCTATTGGGAGACCTTGATTGCGTTTTCAACTCCTGACTTTGGCTTGGTCCAGTCCCAGGCATTGTGTGCATGGAGGGGATGAACTAAGGATGGGAAATCAGTGTGTTTCTCTTTCTCAATCTGTGTCTGATAAGTAAATAAATAAAAATGAAAATCCTTGAAAGACTAGATTTGGAATTGATGGTCTCCTAGGATACTTCTGGCTTGCAATTCGTGTTGGCTTTCTCTATATGGGATAGCTCTGTGCTCCCACCCCCTCCCTGCTCCCCCTGAATAAAGTTATATTACTGCAATCATTTTATCTGAAGCCACGCTGTAGTTTGAATGCAAAAACAGAAGTATGGGTGCTAGTGACATCCACGTTCTGTATACAAGGGTACTTCAAAAGTTCAAGGAAAAATATAATTGAAAGTTCATTTTGGTCCAAAAAAATTTGATATCTGTTTTTGTTTTTCATTATACTCATTTCCCTTGAACTTTTTGAAGACCCCCTCATGTGCATGGATTCCAAATGTTTTTGCACCAGAATAAGCTGATCTTTGAATTCCATTTTTCACGAGTGTTTTTGAAGTGCCCTTGTATGGGCCTATTGAACTTGAACCCTAGAGAAGAACCTATCGGTATGGCATGGTTTCCCTCGTGTTACTACTTGCATGCCTCTGAGTTTTCGGGCTGTGACTGGTGCATCCGCTGTTCGGTGGGCAAGCTGTTCCGGGTTTCTGTTCTGCATTCATTGTTTTCCATCGTCTCTCTGTTTTCTCCCCACAGTACCTGCAGATGAAATGGCCCTTGCTGGATGTCCAGGCAGGGGGCCTGCAGAGTAGACAGGCTCTCAAGGACGCCCGCTCGCCGTCGCCAGCTCACATTGTTGTAAGTAACCTCCCCAAGACTCCACTGCCTTCATTGGGGGGCCGTGGAGAGGCCACTCCTTGGAAGACCCCTGGCCTGGTCTGTCAGTTTCTCTTTCTTTTTTCTTTTTATTTTTTGGAATCCTTTTGGATATGGTTTATATCTAAAAGATAACTGGTTTTCTGCTGTTGGACCTCAGTGATTGTAATCTACCTGGAAATTTTATGAATTCCCTCTGTGGTACTGGGTCAGAATCTAGCCTTGTGGGCTCCAGTTGGCAGGACACAATCACCAGGCTTTGGGAGAGACTAAAAATGTGGTCCGAGCAACATCAGTGAAGTACAAGTAGGGGGATGAGCTGGAGAGGAGAAAATTGGAAAACTCCCTGGTTTTGAGACTCTTCCACCCCCGCCCACACCACCCGCAGGGGGCTTATGCTTGTTGGAAAGTTGCATTCTGCTCCAATGTTACAGAACTTTGTTTGGGCTGGCTGATTGTAATCCTAGAGGGGAAATGAATTTAGGCTGAAATTACATTTAATCCATATATCTGCGGCTTTGAAAGAGTGTGGGTTTGACATAGAAAACATTTGTTTTTATTACTAAGAGACTACAGCATAAAGCGTGTGTCTACATATATTTTTAATGCACTTTCTTAGGATTTTGTGAGCTCTAAAACTGGAATTTATAAATTAACCTCTTGAGAAGATAACCCAGTCTTATTAGAATATTCCCTTCCCTATATTTGTATCATGAGCTGGACTTCATATTTTTGAAATTATTAATGGAAGTCATATTTTTATAATGAATTCATGACAGGTAGAATTATGCAAAGCAGGAAACAAATTCATGTATTTTTTATTTAAGTATCATAAAATGTTATCCATTAATATGTTTTGCTTCCATGTTACTCACAATTTCTAAAAATTGTAAATTAATTTTCCTTAGTAGAAAAACCTTAAAATGCATTGTGTCACATTTCAGGCAAACTGCTCCCTCATTTTGTAGCTTGCTGTAATTGACTATATATTATTTAATGAGCTATGCCTCTGGTGCATATGGGTGTACATATCACAAAATAATTTACTTCCGTGAAAGCCCATCTTGAGTTATCATCTGTGAAAATACCTCATCCTCTCATGGTAGAGAGATGGTTTAACATTTGCCAGAAGCTTCTCCCTGCCTCCAGCCCCATCCTAAAGATGGAGGCTCCTGTTACGTGTGCTTCCTGCGGTCTTGGGACATCAGGGCTAGAAGTGAATTTAGACCTCTGTAGACACAGCCTGTTCTCAGGAAAGGAAACAGGCCCAGAGATGCCGAAAGGACACTGCCCAATGTCACACGCCGAGTTAGTGGCCGGAACAAGGAGTGGATCCAGCTCTCCGCTCCCTCTGCGGGGCCTCGTGGCATGTTCTCTCCTACAGGAGGAAGCTTTGGTGGTGAGCCCAGTTTTGCTTGCTGTAAATGGGAGCCTCATTAGCGACAGTGATGTGGGTGTAAAGCAGTGGCTGGCTTGGGGTTCTCATGCAGGCTTCTCTTAGGAAAATGAGTGCCCTATTTAAAATAAAATTTTTAACCACATGCAAAGATTTAAAAACCCAACAAGTGTGACAGTTGTTGAGTCCTAGAGGGTAAAATGAGAAAGCTTGTATGGTTCACTTTTCTTACCTCCCCAAATTTCCAAGTGTGGGTTCAGGCTTTGAAAAACATGTTTTTTAAATGTTTATTTATTTTCATCTACTTGAAAGGCAGAGAGGGAGAGATCGAGAGAGAGAGAGAGAGAGAGAGAGAGATCTTCCATCTGATGGTTCATTCCCCAAGTAGGCAGAGCTGGGGAGGCCAAAGCCGAGGAGCCTGGACCTCCATCCAGGTCTCCCATGTGGGTGGCAGGGACCCAGTCACTCAAGTCATCATCAACTGCCTCCCAGGATCTGTTACCTGGAAGCTGGATCTGCTACAGAGCAGCCTGGAAATCTTGCCCACCCCCGTGTCCATGCTGCCCCGGGACCTTCCCGCATTTGGGTGGCTACAGGGAAAGGGTGTTATCTTTTAAGCCTCTTGGAAACCTCTGTGCCTTTGAGTGCTGGGAGAAGATGCAATCCTAGAAGAGGTCCAGAGTGCAGCCAGCCCTTGGTGGTTGTGTAGTGCCTCCCAAGACCCCCTCCCTGCTCCTCCAATTCCACGAGAACACTTGCTCCAGTTTAAGCTCTAAGCACCTCATCTGCCCATGTAGAAATGAACGATCTGGGGAGATGGCAAAATAGTTTTTTCCAGAACCAGTGTGGATTTTGGCGGAGAAGGGGAGGTGGGGCGCTCAGAGAGGGAACTTGGGTTCCTTTTCCTCTGCCCTTTCATCCCAGGCCTGTTTACAATAGCAACCACAGTGGAGCATACACACCGTGTTTTAGATGGAGACCTTTGTTCAAGGAGCCACCGCTGGCAACTGTAGTACAGTCTTTTAGGCCTTCCACCGTGGTTGTGGGGACCTGGGGAATGGCTGTTGCAGGCCAGTGGAGGGGTGGGCTGTATAAGGCAAGGAGAAGCAGAAGCCCTGGACAGGAGGGGACCTCACTGGGCAACAGGCTTCATGCTTGCCGTGGCAGCTGGATGGTGACTTTGGGTAGAAGAATCACCTGGTATTCGTAGGACGGGGAGTTACAGGGAGATGGGGAGAAAGGGTAGAAGAAAGGCGGGGGATGTCGCCTTCCTCATCCACACGATCACCTGTGGTTTTTTTCACATTGAAGATCCAGGTGCCATTGATGACCGCCTTTGCGCAGGACGTAGGGTGATGTGACCCCAAAGCCAACTGCATCTCAGCAGGGACAGACACCAGCATTTATACAGGGAGCTCTGTGAATTACAGCTCGTGTGTCCTTTGGATCTCGGTACAGTTCAGCCTTGGCCAGAGGGTCTGGTTTGTGTTCACATTTGATCACCAGTGGCTGACTTCCCTCTAGAGACACTTGAAGCGCTTCCTTGCTTTTTTTTTTTTTTTTTTGTTCCACGAAATAACAACGTTGTCACATCACAATGTTTCTTTCACCAGACATGTTTCAAAATAATTGCCTAAGGACTGCTTCCTAATTTCTGCGAAGCCTGGATTTATTGTAACTTTCGGGCCAAGCTGTTTCATAAGTATTCTAATGTTTCACTTTGAAAATAGAAGCGGTCTCTGTGAGTAATCGTCAGAGGCTACAACACACTGATTGCTAAGAGGGTGACTTTCTCCAGTATCCATTTGGGGCAGAATCCTAACTTTAAGCATTTTGTCAGGATATTTTAAGCTGATTGGATTTTTTTTATGTGGTATGTGGGTTACCGCGTTATAAAACATTGATGAGTAGAATAAATGTTCTTTACCAGTAGAGTTCAATTTATCCAATAATATTTAAATTAAGAAACAAACCCTACAAATCTTAGTTCCTGTTATAACCTGGTCACTTCTTGGCTGCACTTAGAGGAGACAGGAGATCGTTCCCCAGGGATGAGGTCCTGATTGGCTACAAAATGGGAATTGACACAAGGACTCAGGCCAGCCTCCCTCCCTCTTCTTCCTACAAATTCATTGACTTTAAAGTCTCAAAGACACTGGCCACAAGTTCCAAGGTCACCCCCGCCCCACCCCAGTCCCATTTTGTGGTCATATAACTAGCTCATTTTTTTTTTTCTGTGCAGTATTTTGGAAAAAACTTTTTTTTAAAATTCTTTGTTTTTTATTTCCCCCTCTTATAAAACAAGTTTCAGGCAGTGTGTGAGTCAGCCTGAGCTGACAGCCCTCCAGCGGCTGGTGAGCTGGGGGGTTAGGAGCTGCTCCCTGAATACCACCCCCGGTGTCTTTGCTATACAAAGACTTTCATTTAACTTCCTTTGTGCCCAGCAAAAAAAAAAAAAAAAAAAAAAAAAAAAAAGATTCTGTACCCCAAATGGTGGTATTTTGGTGTAGTATGTATCTTACAAAACAGCAAACGGCTTCAAAAGTTCCTACAATTTTATCTTGGGGGTTTCCTTTTGAAGTGGATGTCGAGTTTTACCTGGGGTGGATTCCTAGTGGTGCTTGGTCCTGTGTGTTTTGTTGTGTAATGAGCTTGGAAGAGTGGGATGAGAAGGCAGACTGCACCCCGGGAACAAAGGCCGCCAGACCGTGCCCGCGTACTTTTTGGGTTGTTCCTGCTTAAATGCTGAAAGAGAGCAGGAGACTCTTCGGCAATCCTGCACGGTGGGCAGAACTTCAGACGGGGTCTCTGCTGTTTGTGGCCAACATTTCCGTGTCGGCCCAGAGGGCGGGACGGACCTTTGCTGCTTCTTCCTGAGGCGTTCAGAGGAGCTGGCTCACAGCTAATCAAAGACGGCTACCTTGCGAGCAGCCTCCTTGTCTGAAACTGGGCTGTGTTTTGATGGTTGGTTTGTTGCACCTGGATTGCACGTTCTCTGCCCCACTGGTGGTTTCCTGGGACTCGGCTTGTGCTGGGAGGTTCTTTGCAAGGATCCGGAGACGCTGGTGGCCCTGTGCCAGGTGCTATGAGGGAACACAGGGCCCAGGAGGGTATGACCAGGCCTGTGTGGCTCCATGAGAAAGTGGCATTTAGAGTGGGATTTGAAGGGTCTGTTGGAGTTGTCCAGGAGAAGGAGTGGGGCATGAAGGAAAAGCACAGCTCAAGGTCTTAAAGGAAAGAGTTTGACCTTGAGAGAAGCAGGAGGTCAGGTAGGATGACTTGACAGGAGGAGCCAGGGAGAGGGACTAGAGGTGGGATGCGGGGCAGTCTGGCACTGTTGGGGCTTTGGCCTTTCCCGCTGGTGGCTTGGCTTGAGCAGCTGGCAGGGGATGGTGAAAGTGGACAGAGTTGCAGGGACAGCAGCGGAAGTTGCTGACAGATGAGGGGTTGGTGTTGCTGGAGAGGGAGTGGGAGGGAGGTGGTGGAGTGCCATTCTCTGAATGGAGATTGGCGCAGAAGAAGCAGGTTTAGGGTGGAAGAGTTGGCCTTTCAGAGAGTGCTTGCTGGCCTCTGAGCCAACTAGTTA